TATATATATATATATATTAACTTTCGAAATTATATATTCTAATTATGAAATAATATTCGATTTATTATCTATCGTATGATGATGGATCATATATAAAGATGCGTATGAAAGTGATTCTGAATTTTATTTTTCATAATTTTGTTCAATCTTGATAATAAATATTGGTATTTCCACGCATAAATAATAAACAGTGTACAGAGAATAACACATATAAATAGTTAATTGTTTCTCAAAAAATAATATTATTAGCACGATTGTTATCGAAAAACTATACAATCATTTTTCTTTCAATATAAAATGTTTCGTTTAAAAACAGCTCCATACTTGAACTTAGCATATTGTTCTGTTGATGATATGTTATGTTGTCGATATGTAACCAATATATACATACATACATACCAATATATACATACATAATTTCAACATACTGGCAATTATGTTAACGACTAGAAAAACACAGTGTTTGCACTTTGTACGAAGTATGTAACTGTATATAGAATCTAATCTAATCTAGAAACTTGAAAATAAGAATTTTGCTAATTTCTTAAGACTTTTTAAAAAGTTTTCCGTATTCGATATAAAAGTGTATATTTTTTTGGTATCTGAACATATCATAACTTACGATAATACTGAAAATATTGTTAAAATATTATATTGGAATTAATCAGATATAATATCGAAAAATTAATACTAATAATTATATGTTAGCTTTTACAACAAAATTGTAAATGGTGTAATTAATGAGACGATGGAGTGAGTGCATTTTGTAAGATTTGTGAAAAGAAAATAAGGCACAGAAAATCTTCAAAATATTTATCAAAAGTGTCGCATATTCACTAGGTTCGTAATCGGCAATGATATATGTATATATGTACGTATATATGTATGTATATATGATTAACTATCACTGTGAAAAAAGTTGATAAAGAACGATAGAAAAATTATTATTTTGAATATATTATAGAATCTGGTTCGTGAATTCACAAATTTGAATCAAATCTTATATAGTAACCCAGCTTATACAAATCTTATAGAACTCAATAAAATAGGATTCATATCCGATGATATTTGAAGTCGACGATAAAAAATGATATAAATTCATAAAAAACAATATAAAAACAATATAAATTGATAGAAATCCTATTGTTCTCAATCATTCTCAACTTTTTTTACCAAAGATATATATATATATATTTCTATCAATATATATATATATGTCGCGTATGTTTTTTGGATTATTTAAAAATTTAAATCTGACAGATAATCAATTATTTTATAAATTTCATTTATAAATTTCTATTGTATACATTGTATAGGCCGTGTATTCGTATATTATTGCCAGTACAATATTTAGTATATGTAACAGAAACTACAGATTTTCAGTACTGACAGTCAACTGGCAGTAATACACGAACATGGCTATATAGTAGATATATTATATACATTAATACATATAGCAACATTGAATCATATAATGCAAAATAATGTGCTTTCGTCAGTAAATTATCTTCGATCGAATTCTAGTGACGTCGTATGACGCATTCACCAGCATTTATTTCCGTGACAGATGGTCACTTTGTCTGAAAATAAATTATGATGCGTTCATGATTCATGCACAGGTCGCTGTCTTCTCTGATGCGTTCTACTTTGATTTGATTTGACACGATCACCGATTTGATTGCACAACAGATTTTACGTTTGCCTTTTGATGCAAGTAAATGTTTGTTTACTAAAAATAAAAGGAAATCATTGAAAATGGATAAAAATCGATTTCATAAATCATTAGTCTTGTAGAAATTTATATATACTTAAAAATTTGAATTTTATTTATAATATTTTAATCTAATTTTTCGAAAAAAGACTCATCCATTTTTTTTAACTATAATGAACATATAAGATGGAATTATTCAAATAGCAAAGTATTGTCATAATGTTGTGAGTCAATAATTTTATTTTAATTAACAAATTAACTATTAATATATATTTATAAATCAATTATTTAATTATATATAACAACAACTAATATATAATAAATATATATAATAAATATTAATATTGCTTCTTACAATTTTAACGTATAGTCATGTTGTTATATTTAAAGCATTCATATTTGTTTATTGCGATTCGTGTCTTCAAATAAAACTATAAATATATTAATGATGTGTGCATTCATGCATGTGCAAGAATTGCGTACATACATAAGTATATTTTTATGCCATTGTCAGGTTTGTTGCTGACTTGACGCTCACCATAAATAATGACTTTAATGTGAATTTGTTTTTTACACAAAATGCGTGTAATATAATTTTTATAATTAGCTAAAAAATTATTTTCACTTTCCTTAGAATTTCTCGTTAAATGAATTAAAACATAGATTAACAAGAAAAGATATTAGTAAAAATAACTTTATTGATGAGTAAAAACAAAACATAGTAATAGTATGAATGCTATGAAAGAAAGATTCGTATTCAATACGCGGGCGAGACATCAGCAATCGGGTATCTAAAAGTTTAAATCTGAAGCAAAAATAAAAATAGAATAAGATTGAAAGTAAATACAAATTTAATAATAGATACGTAGATTAGCAAAGTGGAACAAGAAACAGAATATAAATTTGACAAATTTGATAACAGATATAAGTAGTACAAGAAATGCATCAAAATTTAGAACAAAATTAAAACTTAGAACATATGCAAAAAGAAAAAGAAATAAAGATATTGATAATAATAACTGTATTAAAAATAATTATATAATAAATACAAGAGCCGCAATACTATAGATGAGAATAACGAAGAAAAAAAAAATGGAATTAGTACGCATAGTTATAGAATTGAATGCAAAATAATACTTGGATCAAAACAAATTCAATTAAATCAAGATTAAAATTTTTTAAGTAAGATTACAATATTTTTGCTATACTTATATATGAGTATATTATGATTCAAGAATAGTCTTTTTTCTGTATACAACATCTACAAATCACGCACTCGATATTCAGAGCCAGCAGACTTGAAAGAGGCAAGAGAAAAAGTGGAGCGAATGTAGAAGAGTAAGGACTTGAAATACTTTACAGCTACGTAAGAAGACGCAGCCTGAAACATAGTCAAATGATGTAAAGTATTGTAGAGGATAAGAAAGAAGAGATTGGCAGCGTGGTATTAGATAGAGGAAGAATGAAATTCATGAATGAAATAAAGACAATCATGAAGATAAGATTGAGTATTAGAATGCAAAACATTAAAGATTAAGCAACACAAATGCAGAATGAATCTTTGACATATGTGTTGGTATGTAATCAAATAATATAATCAAATAAGGAAAGGATGAGAAGATGGGAGATCATAAGTTTTTGCGAAATAGAAAGACAAAAAGGATACGGTTTACGAACTTATGCAACTTTGCATTTTGGGGTGGTTAAAAGATCAGGAAGGATTGACATGTAAACCAAGAATGCGGATACAAGGGATAGAAAATAGAGAATTGAAACATGAGACAGCGACTGGAGCTCGTATTTATATAAAAAGATTGAGTGATATTTAAATAATATGTAAAGATGCGATGATAACGATAATAATGCTGATAATCAGTAAACGTATAACTAAAGAGAAAAGGAATCTTGAGGAAACGTTAGACGATACACCGCGAAGAGAGCATAAGAAGAGAATTGTAAGCTGCACGCGTTGAGAACGGTTTAAGGTACAGGAATGGAAAAAGGAAATAGCTAGGAGATAAACCATGGTGATGAAGTTTAGCCAATAGCAGTTCATGATTACTGTGTTTTAATTTCAAAAGCCTTTAAAACATTTTTTAGATATTAATATATCATTAATATTTAAAATTTATTTTAAAAAGCATATAGTTTTCTGAAATACATGTTTTGTCTGATTATCTGTTGCGAAGAAGTTTTTATATGAAAAATCAAATTATATTTATTAAAGTTTGAATTGATGCACGCTCCAACATCAATTCAAATATACACGATTCACGATATTATCTCGAGTCTAAAGAAATCTCTAGGTATCATCGATAACATTCTCGAACAAATATCATGCAATCAAGCAAATGTGGA